TTGTCTGGAGACTAACGGGCCGTGGGGCTCAGAGACAATCTGTTGAAGTTTCCAAAGCTCATTTTGGGGGACTAGTGCTGGAGTGAATGATCTACTCCAAGCAAGCTTGTTTATTTAATTTCACACTTGTAAAAATAATGGAGAAATCAATTTATTAACCTTAAAAAAGTGGCAGTACTGTTCAAGAAGTACTTGAACAGTTGGTTCAAGTTTCTGCCCTAATATCCGTTTCCCATTTTTTCCCCTCCAGTGATAGTACAGAGCACTTCAGAGGGAAGCGTCTGTCCTCGGTGAGTAACTTAAGGCATTTCTCAAAAGAAAACTCTGTGAGTGAGTGTCACGGTCCGCTCGGTGGTCTCGTGACAGCTGTGATCTCAAAGTGCAAAATTAAGGCGACCTCACCAAAGGGGTTTGCTACAATCAAACAGGGAAACTTTATTGTTTGCCAGTGAAGCGGCGTGCGATGGGGAAAGAGGGGGAAAGGAAAGGGGAAATAAAGTGACAAGAGGACAGATCCTTGGCTGCCACCGCGGGTCCAAGGCGTCCCGATGGTCCCGGGTCCAGGCAGCGTCCCGCCGGTCCTACCGATGGCCAGGCTCCTTAACGGTTCTCGGGCTCGTCCCTGGCACCGGAGAACGGCACGGCACTCCTGCGGCAAAACAGAGCCCTCTTGCCTCCGCAAGGCTCCCTCCTTCGGCTGTTCCCTCCCCACCAGGTTTCTAGAAGGGAGCAGCAGACAGCAGCATCTCCACCCTGCTGCTGTGTCCTGCCAGATGAACAAGTCGCTCAGCTCTCGTCCTTGCTCTGTCCGGGGCACGAGGACCTCACGAGCCTGGCATTCAGGGTCAGCAGCTGCTTCTCAGGCAGGCCGCTGCAGACTCATGTCAAGGTGTCGGCCGAACTTTTGGAGTCCATATTCCTGATGACAAGGCTGAGACAATGCTGTTTTCGGACCGACTCTTACAGTGGGTGAAGGAAAGAACAGGATGCTCTGAGGAGGAGCTTGTTTCCTCTTCACAGTTGAAGAAGAGCGTTCCAAAAGCAAAGAAAGAGCCTGTTGGAGTGATATGATTGACCAGGGCACTGGTGGCTCCTATAAACTTTCCAGCCAAGTAATCAGTTCTTGTAGCCGTAGCTGGTCTTCTCACTATTACATTTTCTTTTAGATTTTAAAGGCTCCACGAAATGCTCTCGATGATCTGGGAAGTGGGAATGAATTGACACAGGTAGGTCTATGAAATCCTTTCTTGCTGATGCTCTTAACATCTTCAGTTTGCTCCTCAACTTGCCATTGATTAAACTGTGTCGCTGGAGTAGTGTGGGTGTAAAAACTCTTGTAATGACTGCTTAGGAGCCTAATGTTTGGAGTACTGAGTGTAAGAAATCCATTGAGTTTTTCTTTTAGTTCTCTTTTACATCAGAATATTTCTTCTGCCAAGAAAACAGGAATAAACAGAGATTAATAGATGTAACTTGCTCCTGCTCTAGTCCGTTTGACTTGAAGTGTGACCCACCAGTGTACAAACTGGTACGGTCAGTAAGATGGTTTTACTTCTGAAAAACACCCAGCCTGCCAATTTATTTAAAGAATAAAATGAAAATAAACATTTTCTTCCAGAAATGCATATAGAGTAGGTTTCATGTTTGTAGTGTCTGTTTTTTCTTAGGAATTGTAATTACAGGCTTGTTCAGTTTGGGTTTCTTCTTAAATGCCATTTCTGCCTGGGCCGTGCTCTATGGACTAATGCGCTTGTGGTGTCATCTGTTCGTGTGATTTGTCTGTTGCTGGCCACACAACTTGAAAACTCATTTTTAGCCCAGGGGGCTTTCAGTGCAAAAGCCTCTAATAATTCCTTTAGAAGAGGAACGATGAGCCGGAAACGTTCCTGCACAACCCGTCTGTTCCCAGCCTGGGCTGAGTGTGAGGAGCGGCTCCCCCTCTTCGTTCTGAACACCAGTGCCTGGTGGCAGTGATGGACGGGGCTGCTCACGAGTGACACGAGACTGCCGTGACATGCAGCGCCGTGACAGCGTTCACAACTGCTTGTGCTGCTGACGTGATTTTTCTTAAAAAACCCCTCAGTATTTTACAGGCTGTGATAGTGACGTGTATATAACGGGTAGCGCCTGCTATGTCAGTGCTCGTGCCTTCTGGAGCGGCCAGTGTTCCACTGTCCTGAGGCTGAGCCACTTCCCTGGGGAGGCTTATTGCAGGGTCCGTCAGCCTTCCAGCGTGGGCCATAGTGCACTGCTACAGCCCTCGTGGTGCTGCGGCAGGGTGCTCACGTCGGCAGCGACACCATTTAAACATTTTGATCGGAAAACGGCGACTTTGATTCTTTCAGGAATCCTTCCCTTTCTCCCACAAAGACAAACCGTTGTTACTATTTTTCTCCCAGTTCTTGTAATGGAAAACTAAAGAAAAAAAAAGTCCTGCGGCTGTGTTGCTGAGCAACTGCCTGTATTTTCCCTGTGTGCCAGGCAGAAATCCTCATCACCGGTGTTCTGCTGCCTGTGTGTGAAACCAGGCCGTGCTCGCAGAGGGATCTTTAGACCCTGCTCCTTATGAGATGGGTGTCTTTATGTCGGGAGAGGCTGGAGAACTGTAAAGTGGTTTCAGGATGTTGGTAGTATCTGTTGTACTTGTTTGGCTCATAGATTGCTGGGTTTTGGGGCAGGGGGTTGGGTTGGGTTGGTGTCACGCTGTGCACGTTGTGGCTCATGGGGTAAGAACAGTTCTCTGTACATCAGTGTGTCGTGTTCTTTATTGTCAGGATATCAATATCAAAAAACACAGAAAAATCTCGCGCCGTGTCAGCTTTGCCAACACCATCAGGTAAGTTTGATCCGGAGGCTGCAGATCCGCATCCTTTATTTCAGCAGGCCCCGGGGGACAGGCTGCTCTCCCCTCAAGTTGCCTTCGCTGAACGGTCACGAGTGTACGCCAACAGCAAACGGGGCCCGTGGTTCTCTTGGGTTGATTTTGAACCCTGAGAGCTGTCATTCATTTTCTCTTCCCAGCTAGAAAACAAAAACAGCTCAGTGAATGTAATATAATTAGGAATTTTTGTTTCCCGTTACATTTTTTAGTGATCTTCACCTTAAGTATAATGATATCTTCCTGATGGAAACTATGGTTGGGTTCAGTAAGCTTCTGGCTTTTGTTGGCTCATTTCAGAACATACCATGTGGAAATTAGTGCTGATTTTTTTTTTTTTACTTAATTTTTTTCCTTTGCTTTGAAACAGATGGTCTTGTGTTTTGCAAAAACTGGGTTGTTCTGTTTGTTTCTTTCTAAGCTGCAGAGTCTTTCAGCAAGATCTTAAGAGTAACACGGCAGAAAGTACAGGTAAAACTCCTTTCTCTTCTCCCGATAGGAGTCGCAGGCTGTTAGCAGCAAGGTTTTAGCCCGAATGTAAGAAGTCAGGCCCGTCAGTCACAGGTACAGAACGAAGTGGTCAGCTGTTTATCAGGGACTGGCTGAAAACCCATCAGCTACTGGTATTGTGGCCCTTGTAGCTCAGAAAAGGAATTATGTTCTTGGACCAAATGCACCTAGAACAAAACCTGCTGTGGGGATTTAGATCAAAAGAAGGCTGAGCAGAACGTCATATTCACTGCCAGAGATTACCTAGGAGGAATCTGAAAAGCGAATGCCTTTTCAAGTACTTTGCTTGGGTTTTCACCACAGTCAGAAGGCACAACAAGAGTGAGAACTTCAGAACATCCTTTTCTGTGCTGTTTCCTCTTGTCTCTGGATGGTTTGATTGCACTTCTCTCATTGTAATGTCTAATTTCCTTCTATTTTTAGAGTGCGCAACAGATGCGAGGAATGATCTCCTCCTTACTCAGTAAGTTTGAAAGAAACATTCCCATGACTGTAGAGCTCTGTCCTGCAAACCCGTTTCTTCACATGACATGCAGCCAGTTTGAAAGAAACATTCCCATGACTGTAGAGCATTCAGAATATTACTCCTCAAAGAAATGCAGCATACATATTTATTAGATATAAAATTGCTCAGTGCTTTTGGAGAAAGAAGGGCTACAACAACAGAAAAAAAAAAGGCTATAGCTGTGTTCTGTGTTGGTCACTCACCAAAAGAGAGTGGTTTCTGAAAAATTGAACAGTTACGGCTTTAAACTGCTTCCTTCCAAAGCTGAGTGCTTGGGAATGTTTGCTGAGGAAGACCTACCAGTTTCCATATCTGATAGACATAGTCTTTGATATTTATTAGCATAACTTTGTTCCCTAGGAAGTAGGTAAAGTGTTAGTCTGGCCTCATAGTTCTTGTCTAGATAAAACACAATGATGGGATTTTTAAAATTAAACTGACCCAGTAAGTAAAATAACAGATTTAGACGCTTTGGGTGGGTAAAGGGGAATTTCTTACACTTAAAATACACAGCAAGGCAACAGCTTATGTACAGCCGTAGCTGGCCTCGTGCTCGTGAAGGTTTCGGCCCAACACAGAACCACCTCTCTGTGTGTGTGTGCACACGCTGATACAAAAATCGGTGCTGTGGCTGAGGCTCCTGGGTCTTGAAAGAGCAAGCAACAGAGCCGTGGGGAGCAGAAGGCATTACAAGTTAGACAGAAAACCCCCCAGGCTGACGTTGTATCTGGCTTTTTGTTTCACAGAGAAATTATTTCAGGCTTTAGGGACACAGCTTCAGCTTTGCAAAGAGACAGGAATAACGAAAAGTGGAAGGTCTGAGTTAAAAACAAAGAATCTTTTCTCTTTTTTTACTTGTCACTGAGGAATTAAAATGCCGCCTGTATGTTGAGCAATGGCTTGTGGCGTGCTAAGATAAGAGAATCTCACGGGAAAGTAAGACTGCAACTCAAATTAGAATATATTGAAGACATAGAAGTAGCATCTGGTATCTGCTGCCCAGCCCCGTGTGAGCTTGCATCAGAATTCTCTGCCTTTTCAGTATATTGCTGTAGCTTCTGGTTTGAAATCTTTTAACAAACTGTTTGCCTCACCCGCCTTTTGTAGGGGTGAAGAACCTGAAGCTGTTCCGTGTGAGATCACTGGTGAGTTTGGAAATAGATTTAATAACAAACAACTCTCTCTATTCAAAACTACTGATTCCATTTGAATAACTTCAACTTGCCTAGAATAATCTCCCCGACCGAGACGACTGTTGCACGAGCGGGCTTTGTCCCAGGAGGCTGTTTACAAGCCTTGTGACGTAGGAGTGTGGGTGGCCCTTCCGCGTGGTGACGGCAGTACTATGACAATATTTTTCAGGATATATTTGGGTTTAATTGTACTTACTTCCTCAGTGATCTTTGTAAAAGCAGCGCGTAGATCTTCAGCTCAGTCGGTAAAAGAGGACAGTAGTGCAACAAAAGGAGTATTTCCTTTTCTTCCGACAGGGATGAACACTTTGCTTCACGGCCCTATCCAGGCATTGGTGCAGCAGACTGAGGTATGGAAAGGCTTTTATTTTTTTTTGGTGCTGAAAAGATTGGTGTCCAAAATAATATTTCCAATAATTTGTGTAGTAAAGAGGAACACTGTAACTCAACTGCCTAAAAAAGAAATCCTTGTATTCACCTAAAATTCTTCTGAAAGCTAATCTTCTGTATTTTGAAGTATTTTCCCAATCTGTTAGGTGTTATACTGCAGTATTGATAACTCTGGCTTCTAAAATTGCTTGCTGATGTTCCCGTTCCTGAGTTAGTTCCTCCGTTCTTGTCAATTCTTATCTGAGAATCTGCAAAGGAGCTTGTGTTTCAGATGGGTCTGGTTATGGGTTTTTTTTTTTCTTGTGTTACTCTGCTGGTTATTGTTTTCTCCTGTGGGTAGAACGGATATGCACAAAGGTACTCTCTGTTCCTGCTGTTAAAAAAAGCTTTAGACAAATTGCAGTGATTGGCACGGAAAGGTAACTCCATCTCTTCAGTTCGATCAGGTACCAACACACACAATTCTTAGCCAAGACCTTCACAGGCACAACTGCACAGAGATCCTGGACTGTGCTACACTTCAGCGACGACATTATGACGCTGTGTTGTTAAACAAAGCAATGGTCGAAACAGCCTCCCTTACTGCAGTGGCTCCTGACTTACGTTGAGTGTAAAGATATGGCTTGAAAACATACCTTAGCTCTGGTTAATGGATGTTAAAAACCCAACCCAACCCCAAAAAAACCTGGTTAAAATCTAGTGCGGATGAGGAGATGCGTAGTGTGAGGCTATAAAGGTCAGACCGAAACTGCCTGCCCGTGGTTTGGGGGATGTATATGGCTGTGTATATTCCAGTATATTTTATTTCTTGCATTTAGAAAATAGCATATGTAATTTGAAGTAAATGTGAAGCTGTTCTTAACTAATATATCCATTGTATTTGGTAAAATATAGTATTGTATCTTGTTACTGGCCACTTTTTCCCTAGAGCTTTAAAACTGTAAATCCTGTTTGATAAAGAGACTAAAATGGCCCCCGTCAGTGGTGGCAAAGTCTTTTAAATCGCCCGGCTTGGTGCTGCTGCTTTGGGGCGCGCACCCGATAAGCTGGGCGAGGTTCTGACCTGCAGTTGAGGCCGCGGGTGGGAACCACATGGAGAGATATAGAAAATACTGATCCATGAGACTCGGTAGCTGTGTCTAGGTATGAACTCTTTGCCCAACAGTAAAACCGAGACACATTATTTCAAAAAAAGCCATTATATGCTTTAAGGAAGTCGTCAACCTTTCCTGGAATCCATTACTGCTTATCGAGGAGGACTGAAATCAGTAGTGGGTTTTTTTCCAAAAAGAAAAGATGTAAAGATACAGCTATAACCTTAGGACTGCATTAGTTGATTTTTGTTTTAAACAGAATGAACCGTTGTATTGTTTGTTTTAAGTGTCATGGCTGTAATTTCGTCCCTTTTTTTTGTTTTTTAGTGGCATGATGCGGACAACGCCACTCAGAGGACAAATAGACATGACACCACCCTCATCTTTTCAGATGAAAATGAAATGGATGTGACAGCTAGTCACACTGCAGTGATTACACGGGACCTGGAAAGCAATGAGGCTGACAAAACGGAGAAAATAGACATCACGTGGTTTCTGGCTCAGTTAAACTCAAACAATGGAAAGGCACAAACAAGCAAAGAATTCCAATTTTTCTCTGACCCTACAGACCATTCGTGCCTGTCTTTTGAACAGAAGGAAGATGCTACTGCTGTAAAAAAAATAAATTTCAGTGAATTTTTGATGAGCTTGAAGTCAAACGAAAAGGCATGCGATCCTATTGAGGGACCTGAGAAAGAGAATGTTCTTTTTGTCCCTTCGCCAGTCTCGGAAGATGTGGCACAATCGTTGGTGGAGTTTGTATATTCCCATGAACCACCGGACACCTGCAATGCAACACAGGTCTTTAGAGGGCAGGATGGTGGAATGGAAATGACAAAATGCCAGGCTTCTGAGGTGAGAGCTGTGTTTTCTGGTACTTGTGAAGCTCCACCAGAGCAGCTGGTGTGTGCGGACGTTACGGAGGCATTCGTAGATGACGGAATGGATATGACCACTAGTCACACTGCAAAAGTGTCTTTTCCCTTCTCCAGTGTCGGGAATCAAAATCTAAACTTCCAAAAGGATTTCCCATCCACAGAGTTGGATAATTCGATATTAAAGGGAGCATCTAATCAGCACTTAATTATTCAGCATGACCCTCAACTTTGTCCAGACAAAAAAGTAGTAAATGCTGAAGGCAGACAAGATCCTGCAGTGTTGCGAACTGTTAAACAAGAGGCCAGAACAGTGTCTGCCATCCCAGGGTCTGTTTCTTCTGAGACTGTCTTCCGAGGTGATAAAACTGTTGTTTTTGCTAAACACGCTGACATGGAAATTACTGGGAGTTATACAGATGTAACCTATAACGACAGCACCAAAGAAAGGGACAGCTCGCATCGTAAAGCTTTTGAACAGCCGGTTAATACGCGCTCTTGGCTAGCAGAAAACAGGCGTCCAGCACATGGGGACAGGGACATTACAAGGAGTCTAACATCTTCAGATAATCCAGCTTCTGTGTCGTATAAAAACAGTGCACTTGGACTGTCTTCGGGCTCAGATGAACGGACTGAGAAAGTGACCCAAGATCACGGGGCTGCCTCAGCAAATGTTGCTTTTGATTCCTGTGCAGAGTCAGGGCCTGCTGGTGTTTCTACGAGCGGACTTCAGCACAGACTAGCGAACTCTCACCTCGTTTCTCTGCCGGGTGAGAAGACAGTAATATTCTCGGGAGAAGATATGGAATTGACTAAAACCTGTGTTGTCAAGGATGATGGAAAGAATGTTGAAAATGAATCTCCTGCTGGAGCGTTCACCTCTGTCACCTGCAAACCTCCTTTTCTTGATAACAGATCTACATCTCTCCATTTAAATGAACAGGAAGAAATGGAAATAACTAAATGCCATGCTGTTGTCATTGATGATCAAAGCAATGGGATAAATGCAGGAGCAAAACCAATGCACTGTAAAATAATTCCAAGAAAGAGCCAGGACAAAAATGTCAGTGGAGGTGCAAGTTCTTTAGATGTGGACAAGGAAAATTTTGAGATGAGCAGTGTCGATGGGAATATTAAAAGCAGCCAGGCTGTAGAGATGAATGCTAAAGATCCTGAGGTGATAATGGTTGATAAGAAGTGTGGAAAACCAAAATTTCAGGCAAGCGGTCCAAGTTCCTCTGCACAGGGCTCGTGTCCATTACAAGAGCAAAAGCGAGAAGTCCCTGAGAACGCTGGCACCAGCACCTGCGCGTTCGTGGCTTCGCAAAGTCAGAAAGATGATGTACCTCGACCTTTGCCAAAAACCCCTCTAAACGCTGCAGTTCCCTGCGCAAATGACAAAACAAGCAAGTTTTCAGCTGATCGAAACACTGACATAACCAAACCTCATCCTGCTGCTGTGGATGTTGCTCCTGTCAATACAGTGCAGGAATATGAGAATAATCATAATCGAAATAACGTGCTGTCCGAGCAGCTGCAAAGCCAGCCCTTCCAGTCCTCTGGTAGTTCTGCTGTAGGTATCGCAAGTCAGACCGCAGCCACAGAACGTGGGGATCTGAAAATGAAGGTGAATAAGCCAACTGTTACTCCTTTGGCTCCAAGCAGTTCCTTTCATTCCAGTACTGAGCCTGCTCCCTCTGGAATGAAAGGAAGCAAGCTACTTGGAATAAATGCAGATTGCCAAAACTCAGACAGGCAAGACAAAACCCGTGCGCTGACGGCAGTAAACAAAGTATTGCCGACTCGAGTAGATTCTGAGAGAGATTTTTCAGTTGGTAGAACAGTTTCTTCAGAAGAGGGTTTTCAAAAGCCTCGCTCTGTTGGTGGCCTGCACTTGGGGGGTGCTGAAGAGCCATTACTGGCCAACACGTCTGAACTGCGTAAGGGAAGTTCCCAATTGCCTTTGTCTTTAGAAAAGTCTGTTGTGTTTCCCTCTGGTGAAAACATGGACTTGACTGGAAACTGCGGGGCAGTGATTCCTGGTAACACCATCAGCGTGGCTTTATCAGAAGGAAAAGCAGTACCTGGATACCTTGTTCAAGGCGGCAATAAAACAATGTTCTTAACAAAAGGAGCCATGGTGACAATCGATAGTCAGGAGCAGCCCGCGTGCGGTGGGTACTCCTTGGTATCTGGCAAGAAAATGCTAACCATGAGTGGTTTAAAACATTTGCCTTTTGCAGGTGAGAAAACCACCGTATTTTCGGAGGATGACGATATGGACATCACCAGAAGTCATACAGTTTTGTCAGACAACAAAATGATTTTGCAGCATGAAAGTTCAAATGATGACGTATCCTTAATTTCTGGAGATAAAACGTGTGTGTTTTCCTACAATGATGACATGGAAATAAGTAGACTCGATACTGTTGCAATTGATAAGTCTATGGCAAAGGCTGCATCTCAAAGGGTGCTTAACACAGCTAAAAGGGCTGGAAGGAAAAGCTTGATGGGAACAACAGGGGAAAAGACTCTTTTGTTTTCACCGAATGATGAGAATAACGACATGGAGATCACAGAGAGCCATACGGCTGCAATAGGGCATGAAATTATCTCGCAAGATGAGGGAGGGCTTCATTCTCTCTCATCGGCTCATCCTATTAAAAGTGTTATGGGCACGAGTGGCCGGGCGGACACGGACATGACTGAGGCTTGCTCTGCTGATAAAATAGCCGTGAAAGTTGTGCGTGATTATAAACCGATCGTGGATGAGGAGGCTGGTCAGCAAGCGCTTCCGAATAGCGAAGCTACTGTGTTTGCTGTGGATGACATGGAAATCACTGAAACCCGTCAGGGAGCTTTGGAAGAGAATTCGCTGCGAGGCAGGCAACCCCATCGGTCCGTTCCTTTATCTTCCACAATTATGTTTACGAGTTACCAGGCTGACATGGAAATGACCAAGTTGCACTCTGATGAAAGTCTTGAAAGAGTCTTTTGTGAGGACGAATTAAACCTGGCCGAGCAGGCTGGATGGGAGGCTGTTTCAGGTAGCAGAACTGTCGTTTTCACTTTGGCCGAGGATATGGAGATCACCAAAACTCACTCAGCCGTACTAAGGGGCGAGGGTGCTGTACAGGACAGAGAGTCCGTTCCAGCCATTTCTGCAGTTCCTGCCGATAAAACCATTGTGTTTGCCCACAGCCAAGACGATATGGAAATAACCGCATCCCATACTATTGCTGTTAATAACAACGCTAACGGATTTGAGAACCAAGAAGTGTCACATAAAAGCACTCTGCGACCAGACTTGCATGGTGCCCTGTTGTCTTCTTGCAGAGGTGAAATAGATTCCTCCCGCATGAAAGACCTGGATGGGGAATACTGTGCAAAATCCAAGGGTAAGCCCAGCATTCCCTCTTCTGCTTCATCAGCCTCAGCATTTCCTGGAGAGAAAGGAGCCTTCATAGGCCCCGTTGGCACACCACCAGATTCTGTTTGTTCTGCCTCGCTTCCAGAAAAGACTGTGGATGTGTGGGCACTGCGGGATCTTGACCTTCCCACGGATAATTCGGTCCCTGTAAGCAGCACGCAGGATCTCGTACCACCAGAAAACCTGAAGTCAAAGACTCTATCTTCCAGGCTCCCGTGTAACAGGCCCATGGATTGCAGTGAAGAAAGTGGCGAGTTGGTATCCAGCGTTTCGCTTCCCGTGCAGCAGTCGGATTCTTTGAAAGGTTCTCCAGAGGCACGTAGTACTCGGAGAAACCAAGTATTGAAAGGTGATTCATCTAGACGTGAAGATTTAGCCACAGATTTCGGCTTGGCTGGAGCAAGCCTTGTTCCAGTTTCTAACAAGGAATCAAAGGAAAATGAGGGGCTGTCAGCTGGTGGGGAGACACCTCCAAAAGACCTTCAAATAAACTCTGAACAAACTACGCAAATTTTGGTCAGTGACAGTCCAAGAGATCAAATAGATCCCACTCTTGCACCTGAATTATCCGGTATTTTAAGTGTTTGTTCAAAACTGAAAAATATTAGAAGGAAATCTGCAGTTCCCTCTGTTTCGGAAACTGTTTCTTCTGACCAGTTGCCCAAACCATCAGCTCAGCCAGAGGATACCTTGAGGTTAGGAAAAAACACTGGAAACAACCCAAATAATTTATTTTATACCACAGAGCAGGAGAACACATGTCTTGAAGCTGGAGCTGCTCTCATAGATGCAAACTCTGGCATGGCACTTAACGATAAATATCAGGGAATAAATGTCCCTCTAGGTATCTTCCAGCCTAAATTACCGAGCAGAAGAAATCCTTCTGTGTCTAGCATGCAAGACAGAAATGCAAAATCTTCAGACAAAGGAGAAGCCGCAGTTCCAGGAGTAAGCGTAAACACTGGTGAAACCCCAGGGAGCAACAAGGGTAGTAGGCAGAACTTCAGCCCTTCTCAGTTCATAGCAGAAGAATTTCTTCCTGTCTGCCTGGAAGAAATGGATTCCAATGAATCTGTCAGCTCTGAACTCATGGAAAGTGCTTGCAATGAGAGGAGAAAAAAACAAACCTCCCACCATGAAAAGAATCAATCTGAAGAGACAAAAACTTGCAACACGAAAAGAGCTTTGGAACAAGAGGAGGAGGATCTTCAAAGCCCAAAGAAGGTCAAGAGGGATGAAAATTTGGAGGGTGAGGCTTCTCAGGACTTGCAGGTGAGCCTAATCATTAGAAGGATACAGTGAACACAAATGGGCTTTTGTTTCCATTTGGGGGTGTAAGCAGATCTACTGGTAGGTTTTCCTGTTTCTCTTGACCGCCTGTTTGCTGTTGTTTTGCTGTGTTGTCCCCTGTGTTTTGCCTTATTTTGCCAAAAGAGAAGAATCGGGTTGATGGGTGCCGCTTCCCTGAACCAAGCAAAGCAGACAGAGTAAGGGATATGCCAGTCTGAAATCATTCTCTCCATAGTATCCTTTTAATCCTTCCTCGACTAAACACTCTTGGTCCTCTGAGCTAAACTGTTTTCTAGTTGTTGCGTAGGTACAGTGACAGCGAAAGGCCTAAAGCAATGATTTAAAATCCAAACAGGGCTGTTTAGTTTCCATTGGCTTTTGTATAGGTAGCACAGTTCACAGCTGGATCTAGAAAATCTGTGAAAATACGGAACATTCATCTGACCTTTAAAATAAGTTTGTAATTGTCAGTAGAAGCTTTCTCGTTCCAAAAGCTGGAAGAGTGAGCTGTGATGATGGAGAAATGAATGATTTTGTAGCTTTACTTTCTCTGTCATCATAGGAAGTGGCTTTACTAGCCACACGCTGGTTTGTCATGCTGCTTAGATATAAAATGATACTAAAAATGAAACTATTCTGAATGTCAAGAAACAGCTAAAATAAACTACTGCTCAACTTACATTGTTTCATGTAACTCTTTTAATATTTTTTTTTTAAACTTGCTAATAATTAGGTTACTTTTGGCACTGTGTCTCAAAGCCAAGCAGAAGTTCATGAAGGGGAAGATCCTCCAAATCTGTCGGCTAAAAGCCCTGACTGTGCTCCTGCCAGCACCAGCGGCTCTCTGGATTCTGTCAAGGCTGACACAGAACTAACAAGTAAGACTGGTGTGGTGGTGTGACGGTCTTAGACACTTGTGTCCTCTACTCTTCATCGAGGCAGAGCCCCACCCGGACTATAGAGTTCGTTCAGGAAAGGTCTTGAATGCCTGTGGCCCAGCTCCCCACCCAGCCAGCCAACGTGCTTTTACGTTCTGGCTGAGTCCAGGCCGTTCAAGGAAAACTGGGCTGGGAAGAAGGAGCCAAATTGAAGTCCAGCTTTGTTTTCCAGGGCAAGTTGGGCTGGCGAGGCAGTTGGGTGACCTGAGCACTGAGCAAAGCCCCAACTCAAACTGCAGGCCCAAAGATGATTTTCAGCTGACAAAGCCGTCTGATGAGTGAGATCTTGCCTCTGTTCACAAAACCAATTCCAGTTCTGGCCGCCTGCAGCCGTGAAAGCATGTGCCTCCTCCAGGAGACGCTGGGCTCTGTCCTTTGAGGGAGAAACTAGCCCTGTTGGCTCAGAACATGAATGCCGTGTTTTTACCTTGGAAGCTTCGTCTCAACTGCTCAGAGTCGCTTTCTCAGCTTTTTCGTACGTGACGCGCAGCTTTCCTCCCCTGGGAAAGGGAACGCGGGTGTGTCGTTACCGCTCCGACACCGATTTGAGTTTACATTAGATCCTGAATCTCGTCCTCCTTATTTGGCCCATGCAGTTGTTTCCTCAGTTACCTCACTCAGCACTGCAGACACACCTAAGGGTCAAACTCGGCATTAAGGTTGCTTTTTGTCTAGACCTGACGAGCTTGGGTTCATGTTTCTGTAAGGGTAGTGTTAACCCCAGCAATATCTTTTCTTCCCTTGGCTAGTTCAGCGGAGCAGTCAGATGGAGTCTCGGCTTCTCACAGATAGCATTTGTGAAGATAACTTGTGGGAGGTAAGTAGCTGAAAGGTGCCAACTTCTTGTCCTAACAGGAAAAATACTTGTGTGTGTATATGCAAGTAAGTGTTCTTGCTTGAAAAATGTACTTCCTTATCTGTACGGTTTTCCTAACCTTTACAGAAATTTCAGAATGGCGTTATCACGGTTGGGGAGTTTTTTACACTTCTTCAAGTCCATGTTCCGATTCAGAAGCCCCGGCACAGCCATATTCCAGCCAGTGTGAGTATCTGTCTGCTGATATGCGTAATATAACTGACCTTAAATTATATTCCTTTGTCTTTTTTTTGGTTTTACTAATTTTTATCAACTAACCAGCCTGTATTAAAGGCCTTTACATGAGTTAAACCAGGAGTCAGTTCCACCCTGACAAGTGTGTTAGACACTGCATGCTTCCTCTGTCTCTTTGCTTGTTCACCTCTGGGAAGTCTGATGCTTTTTTCCTCTCAGTACTGAAAAACGGAATAAATTTCAATCTCTTCATGAGACACCATATATTCGGGATTATCTGTTATTGGATAAATATGGTAATTCTTTTGTTTTTAACTTGTTTTAAGGATAAGTTTGAAAGTAAGAATTAGAATTAACTGGTCCGCGGGTCAGCTTGGCAGGCGCAAGGAAAAAGTGTCCAGTTTAAAGTCCTTTAAAACTGTTAGAGCAAAAGAATGGAAACTGATTAAAAAGAATCACAACTAAATTCATATAATTTGTATGGATTAAATTGCTTCCTTTATGACTTTTGAAACTCTTCTGGTTTTATTTAAAATGCTGTACTCTCTTAGTTACAGTTTATTTCACACTTTCAGCTTGCAAATTTATTCATACTGAGCTGTCTCTAAACGCTCACCAGGCTTACAAAACTGGTACCATTCACTAGTGACCGATCTCTGGTAAAACACAACCACCCCCACCACGCTGCACCACCCCCACCCCCTCAAAAGCCCCTGAAAGCTTTCTCTGATGGGATGGAATCAATGTCGATGATTTTCAGTGTCAGATTTATGTGCTGAAATACCCCCGTCGTGTCTGTTTGATGTGCCTAAGACTTGGTGAAAACTGGGAACTTGGATTCTTCATCAAGCTGAGCTGAGTTTAGTGCAGAGCACACGTGTTACCTGGGTAACGCACACACGTTTTTCAAGCTTTCATCCAAGAGGAGGCTGACCTCTTTTAATTTCTTCTTCTTTTTTGGAGCTCTAGTGATGAGGCCTGTCTCCAAAGTGAGGAAACGAGGGATATAACAGTGGAATGAACTATCTAAGGTTATGTGATCAACTTGTCTCAGGATGAAATAGGACAAGTCCAGGATGAAACAGCTGTTGAAGAATGTCAGGCTGCCTCCATTAGTTTTTGGGTGGTTTTTTTTTTAACTTCTGTTCCTTAAAAATAAAGCTTCTGGGCCTTTTGCTGGTTTCTGTACATGAACTGATTGGAAGTTACTGTTTCTGAAAAAGATGCATCTTTTTCCTTCACAATCTTCCCTCTGTTTTTCCCCAGTGTGCGGTCAGCACACCACCTACTCCAGAAGACCTCCTTTACAGCCAGTATGTTTATCGCCCCAAAGTGCATGTTTATGAAGAAGATTGCCAGGCCCTTGCTCAGAAGATAGAGGAGTAAGTGGTTTTATTAGTAGTTTTATTTTTTTGGCTCTGGTTGCATGTGGAGTGGCCTGAAGAAAGTTCACACATTACATATGGGGACAATAAAAAATGGTAATTAACCTACCTTATGCTGGTAGCCAGTCTGTTACAGTTTAGGTGGTAGAAGGCTAACTCCTGGGGAGGAGGGGTGGTTATGGAGGTGATGAATTGGTTTTCCTCAAGTAACTTCTCTTTTACTAACAGAGTGTTTCAGTTGCACGTCAGAAGAGTTGAGTAAAACTTTTAAAATTGTATTAAAAGTGATCAAACATAGAAAGCAGCCTCGTAACAGGCTGCAACCTGTTGTTTGTTCCGATTTCCCAGTGTTTATTCGATTGAAATGCGGTTATCGGGATTTGTTTTCTTACCTGAAGGACACTTCTGCTCCGATTCGTTCTGCCTCTTCCAAGTTATGGGCAAAATCAAGTGTTATGATAAAATACAAAATCAGTAGCAAGATTTTTCCCAGCCTCATTACCCCACTTCCTATTTCGTTGGCTCTCTAACTCCCCACCTCACGGAACGCCTGTGGGATGTGAACCTTTTACTGGGTGCAAGAGTTTAACAAATGTGGCCCGCATTGAATCAGGGCTTAGAGGGTCTCTCCAAGATGTAAGACCCACGTAAATGAAAGTATCTCCATGTTTTTACTAGAAAAGGGGAATGACTTGTATAAATTCCAGCATGCTCAGTGCAGTTGCAACACGACTTTCTTTTAATTTTTTTTTTTTTTTCCCCCCACGTTTCAGGTTAAAACCGTATGTAAATGTCCTGGATCAGCTCCTGGTGAATGTGAATAAGACTTTGTGGGAAGTAATGAGAACCTGCTCTGATGACGAGGTAATGCTGCATGAAGAGAGAATGTTGTTTCTTACGTAATGAAGAAGTAAGGTTAATTTATGTATGCAAATAAAAAGGGAACCAGAAAGGTCACAGAATAACAGTAGGCAGGTAAGTGATACAAGGCAGAATGTTTTCTGGATGGAAAACTGCTATGAGGGCTTCCAGGGTGTCAGAAGAATGCAAGGGTATGCGCCCTTTAAAATGTACTGCGGGGAATGTCTTGCTATAAACGGGAAAACTCGATAATTCAAGTTGACAATTCAAGTTAGCTGAGGGCAGAAAAGAGAAGAGAAACTTGAGAGGGGCCTCGGCAAACACTGCAGTTTTGGAAGGAAGACATGAACTGCTCGTACTGCAGAGACTGTTGCTTCACCGGTGGAGCAGAATTGTCCATGAACTTAGATGTTTAATTCGTTCGGAAAGGCACGTGACGTTGCGAGACGGATAACGAACAGAAAATGTGTGTCACTACACAAAACCAACACTGTGTGCAGGGTTTGGAGTGCAGCGGTGCTGTCACGTGCCGAAAGAAAAGACGAGGCCAGAGAGTATTTAAAGGAGAGTGACAATGGGCACAGCCACAAACCACACCAGAGACACGTGCATGTAAAACCCAGGAGCGTTATAAAAGTATCCCAGCCAGAACTGAGAAGGTGGATCAAGAGATTCTGTATTCTGTGGTTCTCATGCCAAGAATAAAGATCTATTGAACGACAATAGAGAGTCAAAATTGATAAAAGACAGTATTCTTTACAGCTGATCATTAGATTGATGTCGGGCGTCGCTGAGGCGAGGTTATGTACTAGATTCAGGAAGAATGGTCCTTATGAGCAATGAAGGCACCTAGAACCCTTAGCTAAGAGTAAAGCTTTGGAGGCTTATTCAGCAAATCTCTACACACTGCAGTTAGAACGGTAGCACCTCGTGGAAATAGGCAGATGGCAAACATTGGAGAAAAAAGCTTTGTACGTTCCTCTGCAGCTTCTGGATTGACAGCTGCCGGAGAGAACATTGAACCACGTGATCTGTAGCTATGTTCTGTTAAAAAGTGTTTTAAGTTTACTTCGTGTGGTTTGGGTTCTGCCTGGACCTCCGTGAGCATTCGTTACCCCCCCCCAACCATAATGGGGCAAGAGTTCTGAATATCTGTCTCCAACAACGGGGATGAGAGATGTCTGATGACTTAATGAAGGTGCTCTGCTTTCTGGGAAAAGCATCTCTCGCTATTTGTGTGGCTCCCTATTTGAGAAAAGATCTTGTTGGATCTCTGCAAAGAAAATTGATTACTTTAGTGGGCGACTGTACTTGAATTAACAGGGACTTTCCAGTCTTAACTTTGATTTAATTTGCACGTGTCATGTAATACTGCTGCTGGAGAAATGGGCCATCAGGAGGAGCAGAGAAGGGAGAAAGAGTCGAAAGGGTCGATTGAACAATCTGTTGTCGTGCACTCCCATTCGCTTTGTCTTCTGTATTTTCCATTCCTTGCAGCTGAAGAGCTTTGGAGCAGAATTGAACAAAATGAAATCCTGTTTCACCAAGGAGAGTAAAATCTTGGCTCACAATGAGAAGGTGACACTGTACAGCAAGTTGCTGCAGAGTGCGCAGGTAACGTGCCACAAGGCTGCAGAGGTTTAGCTTTAAAAAAGGAACTTCTGCCGGATTTCGGCTGTCGAGCGTAGGAGCCCACTTACTGCACGGAGGTGTGCGGCCCCTTGCAGGGGTCCTTCGTAGCCAGTGCCCTTCCCTCTGACTCGTAGGCAAGACAAAGCGCACGGGGACAGTGACTTCCTTGCAGTTACCCTCTAGGAACCTTCTGCCTAAGGGGTTTGGCAGTTAAAGTGACGAAGTGAAACGGGGAAATGCCCTCAGAGATGAGCGATGCCTGCTGCAGTGACGCCGCTGTTGGGAGCTAGCGAGGACGTGCAGCCGCAGTGCCTTGTCACGGTGTGGGGAACTCGTGCGTGTTCAGAGCGCTGGGAGTTTGTTCCTTTCCATGTCTTACCTCATCCTTTCCTAAGAAAAGTCCTTAGGGAGACGCACTGAGAAGGATCCAGTTCTCTCTTAGGCATGGCTGCTGCCCCAGTGCTTGTCAGGCTGCCCCTTCGTTCTAACAAGAGGTGGTATCAGCTCCTCAGTAAGCAGAGATCCTCGCGGGGGTCCCAGAAGACAGTGCAGCTTTTTAAAAAATGCCATTGACCTGAGTGCAATTTTCCCACCTCAGGAGCAGCATGGAAAGCTGCAGTCAAGAATAGAGAAGGTGGATGAAGCGCTGAAGGAGGCAGAGAGCTGTCTTCTCGCTCTGGGAGTAGGTATGTGTTTCCAAACCGGTGACCGATACACTGGTTTCTCTGTTTTTCTGCAGAGCTGCTGTTTAAAGGGTCAGTCCAAGACTCTGTGTTTGGTGGTTGCTTAGAATTTTACAGTTCCTTTGTTACAAGTGTTTGTTAGGCCTAAATGCCTTCATTTGCGTCTGCACACTTGTCTTCTGGGAGTCACTTACACAGCATATGAAGACTAGGAGCATATCTGCGCCGAAATACAGCGTTGTAGTAGCCTGTGAGGGTGTAACCAAGCTGGCTGAGTCTGCAAGCGGTAACAGTCAGCTTCAGAATGGCTGCAAAACCTGCCCCGACCCTCCAGGCGGGCAGGACTAACCTTCGTGCTCCAGGACTGCACCGTGCTCAGCACCGTAGCTGGACGGTCTAGAACTTGCCCAGCGGCGTTCACACGAGCTGCCGGCAGGGCTTGGCATTGCCTTACACAGACATCAAATTGCCCGGTAGCAGCTTTGAAACAATGCAGTAAAAGGCATTTTCTTTGTTATCTGTTACTTTTTGAGGCTTTTGGTGGATACCCTTCCTGCTTTTTGTACTTATTTCTTAGTTAGCTTTGAACTGCCGAGGTGTATAGAACCCACAGACAACTAAAATGGAATGCAAGTCCTGAATGTGGGAGTTCTGCAGAGCTGATACTCCTTTCCCACAGATGCTGACTGGGAAGAACGGGAAGGAGATGGCAGTGATGAAGTGGCAGGAGGGAAACACCTAAAGGAAGGTAATGGCACCAGCCCAATGGCACTTTGTGGTTTATATTCTGGAGAGGGTGATGCTCAGCCCCCGCCCTGACACCTGCTTTCTGGTACGAATGCAAACACTACGGCTTTCTTTTCCGCCTTGGATACAGCTAATTGTATGGATGTTAAAGTACGAAAAGGACTGGTTTTCCCCTGGAGGAATGGAGTTCAGGACTTGGTACAGTGACTTGAAGTGTGTGTGCTGGCCGTCCCATCCAGCACTTTAATTGTTTGGTAATTACTAACCTTTGTTGACCACATATCTGTCCAGGTAGGAGTAACAGCCGTCAAGTTAGGATCTTTCATACTGCTAAGAACAGCGACTGCAGAGCGCGTTAGGGCTTGCTTTGCGCTCCTTTCTCTCATGGCTTTCTTCCCTTTCTCTTAGAGCTGGAAAGCATCAAAGCCCAAGAAGAGGAACTTCAAAGGTAAGATGTCAAAGCGCACCTAAAGACTGTAAATGATGCGCGCGGTCAGGTTGTGGGGGTTGGTGGGTTTTTAACCAGTGTGCTGCGTCTCATGTGGTTGGTTGATCTGTGCAGGGAACTGTCAGATCTGGAGACTCAGAATGAGCAAATGCTCGCCGAGATAAACCAGCTAGAGGAAGAAACAAAATGCTGGCAGGAGCTTGTGGAGAAATACGAGTAAGGAAAAGACCTCCAGGTTTTCTTTTTATCAGCTAGTTCTGGGGCCTCACATTCGCATACAAAAGGTTTTGGGTTTGGTTTTCCTTGCTGTTTGATTTGGGAAGTCTTTGGGTGCCCATCTCCTGGGAGCCTCGGATAAGCAATAACGCCCCAGTGGACTTCTGTGTGCGATGCGCTGAGTTTCTCTTAACAGCTTTGCAGTGATACTCCACGTTCAGTCTTTCTGTATCCAGCACTCCTCCAGTTCCAAAATGAGCGTTTGTGTGAAATGAACAGTGGTAGGCTTGCGTTCCCAGCGGGAACAGTGGTAGGCTTGCGTTCCCAACGGATCCTTGACGTTCTGTGGGACAGTGAAAACTCCGTTGGTGTGTTGTGTGGTAGTAGCTGCAGGGGCACCGCATGCTGCCATCTTTGTCCTTAGGATCATTGTGTTGGCTGGTTGGTTGAAACTTAGGGAGACAGTGGTTTTTTCCCCTCTTTTTAGCTTCACTGAGTGGGAGATTACTGAATGGAGTCAAGAGCAGGCAGTCTTTACCTTTCTTCACGATTCTATTGAACTCACCGTTGTGTTTGGACCCCCAATAGGTAAGTCCCAAAACCGGTAGGTTTCCGTTCGATGGATTTGAGAGGTTAAGTAGTTCCATAATGGAAACTAAACTTTTTATATTTGTGAAGATCTGCTAAAAGGAAATAGAAAACATACTACAGCAGGAGTGTGTAAGCTGAGAGGGGTGGCTTTGGGTGTGTTTATCAGTGCTTCCTAGGAAAATTCAGAAGAGTATGGAATGAACGGCTGTTCCTGACGAAGCTGGAAGCTGTAGCTGCAGAACTAAGTGTGGAAATAACTACTGTTTGGGTTTCCGTCTTTCCTTCTCAGATGGTGACGAATTTGGTGAAGATCCTTCCAGGAAGATCGTTAGCCTGAACTTCGAATCTCTCCTGGATGGTAAGATTTTTTGAGTAGCTTGAAAGTAGCTGCCCTGATAATCTGTCCTTGGGAAGACATCTGTAAAGGCGTGGTTTCTCTCTAATGGCTCTTAAAAGGTTTCTGGCGACCTGTTTTTCTTCTGTGTCACAGATGAAGAAGCTCCGCCGTCCTCATGTTTGGTCCTAAGACTCATCTTCCAGTTTATTGAAAGTCAGGGATGCTGGCAGGAAAAGTGTCCCACCCTGCACTACTTACCCCAGGTAATGTTCCAGGGAAAGCCTGCAAGATTCTGGAAAAACATTACATCTTTCCTGTCACAGAGAATAGGGCTGATACTGAGAACAAAAACAACTTAAGGAATGCTTCATCAATGCAAATCAAAATCTGCTTCGTGAGTATTCTGAGGTGCGAGGGGAAGTACCTGTCCCTGGAGGCAAGAGTCCTAAAAGCGGTGCTTGCTTCCTTGTTTGCTGCACTGATGTCGGAGTGATTTCTTAAAATCCTGGGGTTTCTGCCAGTAGAAGTTGAAGAATTTTGCTGAATGCCATCCTGCTGCCTAGAGGAGTAATGGTTTCCGTTGCCAGGCCGAACTTGGTGCTCCTGCATGTCTGTGTGCCCCTGTTGACAAAGCTGAGGGGAGAAACTTCGGGCAAAGAATGTGTATCTGTGGTTGTGCTGGTGCAATTTCATTTTCACGTCCAAACTGAGATGGGAGTTACACCACTTTTTTGTGTGTGTGTACTTTCTAGCCTGAGTACCAACATGTTTGCTTTTCTGATTGCCCGCTTAGGTTCTTCATGACGTCTCTCTGGTGGTGAGTCACTGCAAGATCTTGGGAGAGGAGATTGAGTTTCTGGAGAGATGGGGTGGAAAATTTAATCTGCTGAAGACCAATATCAGTGACACAAGGTGAGTAACTTCAGGTGGAGTTTACACCAGTCCTTCAGCGAGTGTTTCTAGATAATCAGAAACAAAATGCTGAAATACTTTCAATTTGATTTTCTTGAAACTGAGATTTTATGCCACTGTTTTTAGCAACAATCTAATTTATTTTGATACAATTGCACTATAATATTCAAATGCATGGGAATTAAGCTGTTCTTGGATTCAGCTGCTTCTTTACTATCCCATAACCTCTCCTTCCTTGCCATTTTCCTGTTTGACTTAAAGCTTTAGGCCAGAGTGTAGCAATGCAAAGGAAACAAAGCCAAGAGTTCACCTGTAGCTTAGTGCTTTGTTTCTTTTGATCTTCACTTCAGCCGAGCAGAATCGGTTGTTGAAGGACAAATGCACTTAAAGGTTTTCTTTAGTTTGCGTTTCCTCATACTACTTCCTGACTTTGTGGCTTGTCCCAGTGGAACAAGACAATATGTTAAGTCACCAAAACAAGGGAAGGTTCTTTTAAACTTGTTTGTGAAGTCACTGTTGCTCTTTGCTGGAGCTCTTTAGAAGTTACTGAGCTTGTTGCATCGATGCCAACATTAGTTCTCACTTTTGGAACCCGATTCAAAGGCGGTAGCAGCGCATTTGAATAATTTGTGTGGATCTTTGTGTTTGTTTCGCGTACAGAGTGAAGCTTTTGTTCTCCTCGTCCGTAGCTTTTGCAAAGTTTGAGTTGACCCTGTCTCTGTCTGCCGACTACCCATCTGCTTCACTGCCTTCTACTGTCCAAAAATACATTGGGAATATTGGGTGAGTTGAACAGAAAGAACCACTCCGTATGACTTGAACGTCAAAGCTAGGGACGGGGAATGAAACGCTCCGTATCCTCTCAAGCACGCGTGATAATTTTATCTTTCCCAGGGAGGAGGAGATTTCTGCTGTTCTCTCCAACGTACCGACTGGTCACCACTATCTGCGGAGAATAGTCAGCTTGATTCATCAAAATTTGCTCCAGGATCCCAGATGATTCACTAGATCCGCATGCGAGGCTGAAGAGTCAGACTGGATGTTCTTTGATCTTAGGCTTGTAAGAATTCGAGCTGTCTGTCACCAGGATGGGAGTGCTGTTGGCTGCTCAGCTCTTCAGTACTCTGGTCTGAGAACTGGTTGATACCCAGGCTGCTCGGTGTAGGCCGCAAGTGTTATAAAAGGAGAGGTCTCTAAAAGAGGAGGAGGAAGAATTTCTTAGGTCTTTTATAAATCCAGTCTGCCTTTTCTCTTCGTTCAGTCACTGGTGGTCTTGGCCTCCTTGTGTAGTCCTTCCTAGCATGGATATTATTCCGACATAGCACGTTGGGTTTGTTCTGGGTTATTGACAGGGCATCGTATAAAATGATGACGAGTGATTTCCAAATTAACATGCCTGGGGTTCACTTCCGCTATCATCCCTTCCTTGCTGTGTACCACTTTAACATACCAGGTCACATTTGATCTCTCCCAGTTTCCTGGATCCCCTCCCAAAACACAGGCACCACAGTCCTGCTTCTGATTAACCAATTACCCTGTCATAACGAACCAGGTGGCCAAAGTCAGAAAATACTTTTGCCGGGAAGACTAAAGGTCCCTGTGCTTGACCACGGACTCTGGTGCCACAGCCTCAAAGCCAGCAGGTGCCATCGGTGTGACGCTCTCCAGCCAGAGGTCTGTTCTGATGTTCCGTGTCCCTGTCCGGTCCCGGCTGTCTCCTGGCTCTGGGTCGTGGTCTGCGGTTGCAGGTAGAGCTGTAGGGAGGAGCCGGAGCCGTTTCCCCCTCGGCCGGTGCGTGTTGTGTATCGTGGGGGCTGAGCTGCTGGAGCTCCTCTGACCCTGGCAGCTGATGGTGCAGCAGTGCCTGCCGGCTCTCGGCTGTCCGGTCTGTAGGCAGATGCAGATTTTTGTATCTCTGTAAAATACGTCAAGTTTAAAAATATTTCGTGTTTAGCTGTCTGTATATTTTTCTGGTTTTTTACAAATTTTCCTTCTATTTGGAAAGTGGAAGTTCATTAAACATTTGAATTATTGCTCCTCCCTCGTGAAGCTGCAATTATTGGCTGCTCTGGTTAAACTTGTGACTGAAACTTTGCCTGCTACTACTGAAAAATGACTTTGTTGGCTATTGGGGAGGGATTCCTTTTGCAATAGGAACTTGTCTTAGGTTTTCCCTTGCATTTCCTGGTGTCAGCTTTCGATGGCCTGGCTTGTGCAGAATTGGTGTCTTTTTTTTTTTTTTTTTGAATTAGGAAGATAGTGCCGAAGTTGTAGATGACTTGGGTATGACACCTGGAATTACTTCTAACTTTCCTATGGGCATCAGGTCCGCGTCGTTACCCAGCAGAGGGTGCTGCAGCCGCGCGGCAGGAGCATGACCCAGCGCCGCCTTTCTCGGGGATCTGGGTTAGTTATTTTCAGCGTATTCACAAGCTAAAGAACCTGATAACTGTGAGGACTGAAGTGAGGTTTTTGGTTGAGTTTATTGTATTGCTCTGGATGGTGACTCAAAGCAGCCGGTGGAACGAAGCAAAACAAAGCCGCGCGCTTGCAGTAGGGAAAGGGGAGTAGGCAGCAATTAAGCAGTTCCAGTTCTGTATTTAACTTGTGTTTGTACCTGACACTCGCATTCAAACTCCTCTCAGGGCGTTAGGACTTAAAGATCATAACGTCTGTCATCTGTAGGGCTGGGTGTATTACTGTTAGGATCTTCACAGAGATAACACACTATCAAAAACTATTATTTTGCAAGCCAGATTTTGATGGGAATGCCCTCACTACATATTTAATGTACCTTTAGTTTTCCCATTTATCTCATGTTAATTCACCTCTTTTAAACCTCACATCCTTTACCTTTGCGTGACACTCCCGAGAGCTTGCCCACACTAAAATGGGTTTAATAAACATTTTACTGAAAAGCATAAAGACTTTTCTCACACGCCTGGCCCGCAGCTACCGGGGTGACGATGCTTTGTCTGAGGTCAGAATAGCTCCCTGTGGTGACAGTGCTACGTTTTCTCCTCAGGCTTGGCGCTAATAAACCAAGCTGGGGCAGGAGGGAGTCCTTGGTCAGCTGAAGGACGGGGAGGCACTGGTGAAATGCTGGTTTTCCTATCTCGTGTTACCCTCACTTGCCACGCACAAGTCCATCTTGCCCAGCGTTTTGCTTCCAAGGGTGACCAGGGTGGAAAGGCTGGGAGAAGCTTTTCCTACAGGCAGGGAGGTGCCCCTGGGCTCCACTCCTCTGCTGACTGTCAGTGAAACCGCGATGTATAAAGTGCTTTTGGTATTTTAACAGATTCTTTTATCCATGGGAAGAGCTTTCGCTGCTCAGCTGGGCTTGTTCTGTAGCTGGTTGATTTTTATGGAAAGGCAGGGGAAACAATGCAGCCGCTGCTGCTGACTGATGAGCGCCCTGTGCAACGTCCTTCTCCCAGCGCTCCCCCCGCCTCGCTGCTCCCCCCGAGCTCAGGCACGTTCTTCCCCCACCACGACCCACAATTTGGTCTTCGGCAGCTGATGGCCAATGGGCTCGTACCCGCCGGGAAGGGCAGGGTCCTGTCCTGGCCCAGCAGGGCTGCCGGGCACAGGGCTTTCCTCCAGCTCACTCCACCGGGACTTCATTCGGTCAAAGACCCTGAGGGAAGGCCGGGGCTGCTGCCCGGGACCCCAGCCCCTGTCTTCAGCTCGGGGACTTCGGTCCCTTCTGCCTCGGGCACCAGCTGCAGCACGGAGGGCGAGAGGGGCTTATTGCTCAGCAATGCGCTCTCGCCTTTGGAATAATTTCAATCAGCAGAAACACAGGTTTATGCTTATCTTAAAGAAAAAAAAAAAATAAATAAAAAAGGGGAAAAGGGAGGGGGAATGAAAGAAAAAGGGAAGGCTGCCCTGTTTGACCTTTCCGC